ACATACACACACACACACACACAAAAAAAAGAAAAATGGAAAATGTAAAAATAAGGTGGGAGATATCAGGACTCAGCAGAGATGGGAAAGACTGACTATAAGCAAGATTCCAGAGTGCTGATGTAGTTAGAACAGCTCGGAACTATTTGTGTAGTGTAACATGTTGATAAAAGATGAGAATTAATTCAAGGAAGCACCAAGTAAATCAAATATCACTGTGCAATAAGCATCTATGAAAATTAAATCAGCTACTTAGATTCCTGCAACATGCAGTATTTCACAGCACAGACACGGGGGTAGGAGACAGCCCAAAGTTGGGGTTTACAACGTCATCAAATTTGATACTAGTTTTTAGATTTTTTAAAATCTATTCAGATATTAACTTAAATATTCGATCTACGGGACCCAAAACAAAGACATACTAGTATCACGGAACAATAACTTATCTTTATTTCATCATAGAAGTCTCAGTAACAACGTCTTCACTTAACAAGGACGCATGGTCATTGCATCCCAAGAATATAAATACAACATCGTGCTGACAATAGCCTTCAGATCTGAGAACTCCAGATCCTTGTCCAATTTCTTAGAACAATGGGCACAAAAAGAACCCAAAAAACAAGATGTCTTTACGGCAGCCTACCAGAATATGCAATGTTCAGAAAGCCCAAGATCACCAATAAGTTAAACCCAGAAAATCAATGAGTTACAAGTACAAATGCCTAAACAGAGCTAAACTAGTTTAACAAAATCCAAGAAGATTATCTGCGCCCAACCATTTGCACAGCCTCTGCTAAAAAAGACCAGCATCCAACCATTACAAGGAAACAACTGGATGGACAGACAAACACAAGAAAAAGTTTGACAATGCTCAACGCATTGATAATACCTCTATATTCTGACCATGAGCAGTGAATTAGGTTTCATTTACTGTGCTTAAAAGCATTAAATAGCAGTTGAAACTTCCTCTCACCCTTCTTTCTTCTTCTTTATTTGGTTATGAACATTGGACCCCTGGAGGTTGCTATAAATATCAGGGGAATTGACTCTTTCTCCAACTCTTGGCTTTTCCTTCATCCTACCAACAACTTTTGCACTCCTATTTCCTCCATAGGTCTTTAGTCATCAATAGATCACTACTCCTTCATCCATAAACTTTTGCGCACTTTTAACTTTCGAACGACAAAGTATTCAACTTGTAGTCGAATTTGCATCTTCGTTTGGCTTTAATTTTAATGTGTCAGAAACCAGAAAAATATGAATCTAAAAAAATGTAGGTCGAAGATGATTTCCACTCCAAAAGTGCACAATATCTTTAAAAATCATTTAACCAAGATTGTCGAGGTGCGCGCAAGCTGGCCCGGACACCACGGTTATAAAAAAAGATCATTTAACCGGGATCTCAATGTCACTTTTTCAGAAAATATAGCAATACCAACTGCACCAAAGGTTCAGCTCCAAAAAATATCCTGTAAGCCAAGATAAATCACGATGTTTTGGCAATGTTTTGGTTTATAAGATACAACAACCATTCAGGGGTTGATTTGCCCCAAAGCTGTGAGTTAATATTCAAACTTCAAATATGGGCGGATCGGATATTTTATCCATTTTTGTCTAACCCATTTTCAACCCGCCCATATTCGATCTGACCCGCCCACTTGCCACCCCTAGCATCAGTAATATTTACTGCATCAAAGGCCTTAGAACAAGAATATAAACTGCATCAACATGAAATACAGCTGAAACCATCCATAAAGTCTGGGACTCCAAGCATGGAGGAATGCAAGAAAAGAAGCAATCTCAATGCTGGGATGAAGCAATCCTCATAACTTCACTAAATACAAATGATTTCAAAAGAATACATGTAGGAGGAACCACAAAACTTATGTATATTTTATCGTTTTTCTCCTCTTTACCTAATGCAGCGCACTCACAATATACCCAAGGATTATGGGAACTAATAGGCTTAGAACAAGGTTATCTCAAAAATGAAAGAATTTTTTATGCATTTGACTCAATACTAGCAAGAATGGCCATTTTCACTATCTGCATTTCCGAGTGCAGTTGCTCATGTACAGAAGGGAGAGAATATTATCAAATACGTGACAACAAATTTGTGACAAGCAAAGAGGATAAGCTTGGGCATAATATGAGCAAAAAATAAAATTTCCATCCAACAGCTCACTGAATCGAAAAATAGAAAAAAGCACACACAAATAGCCAATGAGGCTGCTCCCCGTAGAGTTCAGTAAGTACAAATATGATAGAGCTCTTATTGAACAGAAAAAATCTCTCCATCTAATAATATAATCCGTTCCTATATTTAACAACCAACATAACTTAACCAAAAAGCTGACCTCCAAATCAGAAAATAATGTCCTCATCTTTCTGTGAAGCATGGGACAGTATGTTATGGGCTGAACCAAGCGTAATGCCTTTCTTCAAAGAAAGTTCTTCAGCAGCCCTCTCCTCCGCATATTGCCTGGCAGATGCCATCTGTCTCTCTACCTCCCTCTTCTTGTAACCTTGTATCTTTTTCAGACGGAAGAAGTCTTCCCTTTCCAATTCATCAAGTTCCCCCTTGATGTAAAGAACTGTATTCTCCAGCCGAGGCTTTACAACATTCTCCAAGGCATTGACCCTCCGATTTGTGGTCTTGATTGCCTCATCAAGAGTCAAGAATGATGTTTGCAGCGATGCAAGCTCAACAAGTAACTCAATAGATTTCACATAAGCAGCACGACAGGCTTGTACCTGTTGCCCCCCTCTAGCTAATCCAGTCAGGTCATTCTTGGTCTCTCCTTCAGAGAAATGTTCAAACTTAGGGAGCTTCACCCCAGCAATATTTTCCTGCCGAGATCGAACTTTAAGAGTTGCATTCTGGACATTTTCAAGGACAACGTGCTTGATGTTCTCACCAGCAGCATATTTTGCCTCAGTCAGAGCAAAGGAGGAGTCTTTCATGACTTCTCCCATTGATTCCTTTGTTGACACTATATTCTTTAGAATCTGACGGAATTGCACAGTCAAAGCATCACTTTTCTTTTTCAGCAAAGCATGGCCTCTTGTTGCGCCAACAAGGCGAGCTTTAATAACTCCCAGCATCGTAACTGTGGGTACAACATTCAAACGCTGACTTTGCCCGGACATTTTGCTAAGCTACTTAGCTGAAAAAAAGAAGTGAGGATATAATTTTCATAGAGAAAAAATATAGTTGGATATAGGATACAAAATTGCAGATGAAAGAGTAATCCAACATCAGACAGCTATAATTTAAGTCATAATGAAACCAGTAACTTTGATGTCATGAACCAAAAAGATCATTAATTTGATTTTCATGAATAAAACTCATCTATGCTATGATTAAAAATCCCAGAAAAGAAAAATAATAATTATCCAAGATACTAATATGGATTTCTTTTACACACTAACCCCCAATCTCAGGACGTTTTTAGGCATATTGGTTGATTTGGGTTCAAGGAGTACTTTAGACAAATTAGGATGTTTAAAGTGCAAAAAATTAGAAGCTGGAATTGAATACTTCAATATCTGTTTTAACTTTTTAGCCACAGTCACAAGAATGGAATTTGTGCATGAGTTCAAATTAATGACCTCGCCCTTATACACTTTTCCCTTGAGAGAAATTATCAGGAAGGTAGATCAGTAAACCATCACAGCTTCAGAGCAATCACGATACTCGAAGAAGCAACAAGATCACATATTAACTAATGGCACAAATGAATCCAAGTTGCGCCTTTTCTGATGCATTTAAAGTAATGATGTGAATCAGGATTTTTTAATAAAAAAATTAAAATACACTGTGAAGCAGTTCCACTAACTGGAAATGGCTTGAAAGTTAAGATCATAAGCTCTAGATTTGAGGGTTTCTCGCTATAGCCTAGCACAAGGGAAAAATCTTTTTTTTTTTAAATTATTTTGAACCATAAAAGTTTGTTTTTTATCAGGTAATGGATAACCATACGCATTCTGGAGCAGAGGCACAAAACAATTGAAACCCAATTCACATCCCCCTAAAAAAATCATCGAAAGGGGATCCATAAGCTTAATAATAATAATATTCCATGAACTGAAACTCAACAACACAATGAATTTTTTTATGATCTAATTCCCTTTTAACAATAGATGAAAAGGCAGGTCAGTATAAACAGTAACTATTTTAAAGCCAAATTATCATATGGGAAGCAAACCATCATGCCTATATAACTTGTAAAAATCAGAATTCAAAATTAAACATCGAAAAAAGAAAACAATGGGAAAAGAGGATTAGGGTGAGGCAAAAAGGGCACTTACAAACTAGATTTCGCACGGAGAAGAAAGAGATCAGGAGATTATTCAGATAACTCAGCAGAAGAAGAGAGTTGGGTCAACTGTGCCAAGAACAAAATTCTCGGGGCGAAGATCGAATTGCAATATCTGTCCGAGTTGGAACTGGCTATTATTGCCTTCATCATTGACATATAGTCGAAAATATTTCGGAAACTGTCGATAATTCATTATTCCGAAGTTTCTCGGACAATTCGCAAAAGTACCCTTATTTTATTTTATTTTTAGATTTTATGTAAAGGCCCTTAGCGAAATATCGTTCACCTTTTTTACCCTTTAAAACATAGAGTTCACATTGGACAATATAGTAATTTAAGTATTTCATTAATATTTAATACAAATTTAACAATCTTGGAATGTTAACGAGATTATTTGGTAAATTTTTGCCACAGTTATTTGTTATTAATTTTGCTTTAATTATTTAGTATAATGTTTCTTCACGTTTCTTACATAGGAAAGTTAATAAAAAAGTTTCCCTAAACTTTCGCTTCCCTATGACTTCGTTTGTTTGCCTTAATTATTTGGTAAAACTTGTCTTCATGTTTCTTACACAAGAAAAGTAAATAAAAAGAATTTCCTGCATTTTCGCTACTTGGTTCACTCTCATTAAATGACCATATGTCTATTGGACTTTGGTTAAATTCCCTTTATTCTTTGGAGTAGTAAATATTTGGTAATTTTTTCATTCACTAGAATAGTTAATAACGTTTTTTCCTAAACTTTTACTACTTTGTTCAACTTTCAATAAATGACTTTATTTGTCATTAAATTATCTAAACTAGGAAATTTTGTAGTTAGATTCTCCACGAGCATGTAATTCCTTTTATGTATCAATTTGTGTACCAAAATATTTCTATAAAAAAATGCTACAATGTCACAATTTAATTGTCAAACTTCGCCCTGTTCCAACCCCATAATTTCAGGTTTTGTTTCTTTTACAAATATCAACATCTTTTATTACTTCGTATTTTGCAAGCACGTTTGCATGCACCAGATTTATTGTTGCATCGACAATTTATCTTTATTGTGCATCAACAAATTGTTATTATATAATTTTTGTTTCATGTTTTGGACGTGGCTAATTTCACATCTCACGTAATTTACAAATTTAATACATATTATCATACAATTGCAATTCATCACAAAAATCGATTAGACATTCGATCTAAGTCTTATTACTTAAATTAGTATTTTTTTTTTCTTTGTTGTATGATAAATAATACTTATTGCCATGCCAGTTCAAGTTGCTTGTTTTAAAAAAAAAAAAAAACTAGACTATCTCCTTTAATTCTATGTAATATTAATACTACATGATTTGCGTTATTTGCAATTGACATGCTTGAATCACTTAGATTTCAACAATTACATCTGTTCAGGTAAACAATCTTCCTTATATCATAAAAATAATCAATTATTGAATTAGTCACTTTGATAACTTATAAAACTCTTATGCATACTTTATTTTAGGTACATCTGAATGGCCAGTGAAAAGGAATTGTCAGACCAGTATGTCCCAATTAATAGTCTAAGAGTATCTGATTCATGTTGGGTAATACGAGTGTTAGTGTTTGGGAGTGAAATAGTAAAAGAGTTCAACAATAAAACAAATCAAGGCACCCGAAAAATTGTGACATTAGTTAATGAATAGGTAATTTTTATTTTGTATTAATATTTTATTTCATGTCTTTTCATATTATAGTTTTAACCATCAGATTAGCTTAAAGTGAAACTTTTTACCGGAACAAAAATTCACGCTATGCTTTTCAATGGTTATCTTGAGAAGTGGGAAGATTATTTACAACAAAATAAGATTTGTTACATCATAAACGGACGCATCAATAGTGTCAATCCTAATTTCCAATCATCGCACAAGGAGCCCGAGATTGGATTTAAGGAGAATACTTTAGTTGAAGAAAGCAATACTCACTTTTCGACCATTGGTTTTCCAAATAATTTTATTTCATTCGATGAGGCATCAAAGTGCACCAATCAAACAAATTTTGGTAAGTTATTTAGATTTCATCCAATAATCTTTCACTAAATATATAAATAATATTTTACTTCTGTTCGCCTTATTAATTTTTTGATAATATACATTATCACATCCAAGCTTCGTTGTACCACTCAATTTAGTCTCTACACGCTGAATACAACTATTTCTTTAATGTAATAATTTCTTTGCATCGTCAATTGATATTATACTTAATTCATTCTTATTCAATTAAATATGCACTATTTTAGACAGTTTATCATTTAAATATTTATTGCATCATCAGTTACCTTTATATGTAATTCATTCTTATTCTACCTAATTAAAATACGCTCTTTTATGCATAACGCATAATACACGTGCAACGCACATACACTAAATCTAGTACTATATTAAAAGCACGAAGGCCCTTAGCGAAATGTTGTTCGCCTTTTTTACCCTTAAAAATTTAATTTTACACTGGATAAAATAGTAATTTAATTATTTTTTTAATATTTAGGACTAGTTTTAATTCATTCCCTAATATTTAGGACTCCAAAATCAATTAAAGATTGTGTACCAAATCCTTCCTTATTTGAGCTCTATAATATAACATATATGTAAAAAAAAAAAATCAATTAAAGTTTTGTACAATGTTTTGTACGCTTCGTCTGCATGTAAAAACCTTTGCTGGAACACTTTCAATTCCTAAAGTTATATTATNATATATATATATATATATATATATTAGGTTATACAGTCAAACCTCTCTTTAACAGCATCCTTATATAATAGTCATTCACTATAAAAGCTGAGTTATTCTCAGAATCGAATATTATATTATGTTATAATATATGTCCTCTATAACGATACTTTACTATAGCAGCCAAAAAATTTCGGAACAAATGAAGTTGTTATGGAGAGGTTTGACTGTAATCCATTATATTCAATCCTTTTACTTAGGAGTTTTTTTTTAATATATGTTTGGCTAAAAGAAAGGGAGGACGAGGGTGTGAATCGGAAAAAGAAAAAAAACCATGTACCAAATTATTTCTCTCAGATAAAAAATATATATATATATATATATATATATATATAATTTATTTCTATTATATTGCACGGCTAGAAAATAGTAAATGTCGTTCATCTTTTATCCTTAAAAAATAACTTTTACAATAGACAAATTTGTAACTTTGGTTAGTTTCCTAATGTTTAGGATTTTGAAATCAACTAAAATTTTTGATATTAAATCTTTCCCTATTAAAATAGGTAGGAAGTACTAATATTTAGGAATTTAAAATCAATAAATATTTTACCAGATGTAAATTGTACTAATAGACAATACATCCTTTGTGCAATACGTATAAAATCAAGATGAGAATGATGGCGACTTCAATTAATTACTAATTAAAAATTAAAAAATGGAGACATAAAATCACATACATTAAATTAAAATTATTTAATACAGTAACTTCTAAGTAAAATTATTTCAATGTAGAATAATTAAATATGTATTTTAAGTATTCTTATTTAATCATATAAAGTAATTAATTCATGTTCAATTAAGCACCCAAAATAACTATTCAATATCATATTTAAGAATAAAAAAATTATACAAGCCTAAATTCATCTATATCTAATACTATAAAGTCCCTATCGAAATATCGTTCGCCTTTTTTTATCCTTTAAAAATTAATTTCACACCTGACAAAATAGTCATTTAATTATTTTTCGAATATTTAGGACTTCAAAATCAACTATAATTTTATTTAAGAAGATCCTAATATTAGGTCTTCAAATTCAATTAAAATTTACTTTATTATTATTTTTCCTTATTTGACCAGTTTTTATAAATACCCTTTTGGAGTTTAGTATGTGACCATTAAAGTTTTTTTAATTCTTAGCCTCTAAGGTATATAATAGTATTTTTTCCTCCAAATTGCCAATAATTGATTGCCTAAAATATGGAACATCCATCAGCAATGTATATTCGCTTTTTCCTGTTAAATTTTTAAGAGTTTTGATTTAATCTTAACCTTAAATTTCTAGAAGTCTGAACTAATATGGTATTAATTTAGAAATAAATTAAGCTACCACCCTACTATGTGAATGTGCAACTATAGTTAATATTTTAAACCTAAGTTAAATTAATGTATTTGGAACTCTTGAAATAACTATAAATTTGTCATCCCCTACTTCCTCACCCTCTGATAATTTTGAAAAATTGACCTCTACATTGTGAACTCTTGAAATTTCAAAATTGTTATTAGCAGAGTACATCCGGAGTGAGTTTAGGATGGTATTGACTATTGCATGAAGTAAATTTAGACTTAAATCAATAAGAATTCAGGCAACATTTTTTACACAAGAAGAGGTTCATTTGGCTATAATTTTGATTAACTTTGAATGAAGAATTATTTTTTTGTATAACAACATTATGAACGTAAAGTTTACAACGAGATGTTGGATGAGATATAACAACATAGCATATTTGTATCTAATATAATAAAATATTTATAGCTATAAATACTATAGAATTCATTACACTAACTTCACTCAGAAAATGTTGAATTCAGCTATATATTATATCAATGTAGTAATATCTTTTTCATCATTTAAACATATATTGCGTTTAGTTTTAACTCCATTGCTATTTTTTAATAATTTGTATACGTTTTATATTGATTAACATGATGCACACGTGCAACGCACGTACACTAAAACTAGTACTATATTAAAAGCACGAAGGCCCTTAGCGAAATGTCATTCGTCTTTTTTATCTTTTAAAAAAAGATTTTACATTGGATAAATTTGTAATTTTAAGTTGCTTTCCTAAATTTTAGGACTTTAAAATCAACCAAAATTTATTTTATTAAATCTTTCCTTATTAAACTAGATAGCAAATCCTAATATTTAGCACTTTAAATTATTAATCTTTTTACCTTATATGAATGTCCTTATTTGACGTCTATTAATATTAACCTTTAAGACCTTATATGAATATCTTTATTTGACGCTATTAATATTAAAGCTTTAAAACTATATTAAACTATAAGATTTTTTTATTATTCAAAATTTTAGAAATTATTCGTAATATTTTCTAGAAGTAAAAAACACAATAATTCTAGAAGCACAAAAACGAATCAAAATTGACATAC